CCACAAAAATGCAAAAGCTGAACTAGCTGTCCTTTCAGTGTTTTTTCCCCCACACATTTTTTCCTCTTTTCCTTCTTTTCATTCTCTCGGGATAGCCAATTTCCTTTGGTGGCTCCCAGGCCTATGGTGAGGTTTGTTCATATCTGGTGGTCTTGAACTTTTAACTTTTCACAGCTTCTTTACCCATTTGTGCTTTTTGTGCAATGACTTCCAGACCACCGTTACCATCACTGGAAAGAACAGGGCCAAGGAATATGTGGCTTAATGTGTTTTCATGTGCATGCTGAAGCCTCTGGCATGGCTTAATGAATGAAGACAGTTTGGTTCTTTTGAGAGTGGTAGTTAAACACACACACACACACACACACATGCAGTTACATAACACACAATTTTATTAATCATCATTTAATTTTATCAGTAATAAACTGGATTACTTTTTAACATTCATAATTTAAATGCAAACTGATATTTTATAATATAAATACACTGTTTCTTATTGTGTTCTGCTCTATGTCCTCCATCAGTCCCTCTTCTCTATTATTTTAATTATTCTTGTTATTTTTATAAAAAATATAATACATTTCTGAGAATTATTTTATAATTGTTATTATTGTAAAATTTATTATAAAAAAATTATATGCCTAAAATGTTTTATATTTTATATTCTTTTAAAATATATAAACTATACAGTTCTGATCAGTTTTATTTTATAAAAACTATTATTATTATTATCATTATTGTAAAATAATAATTCTCAAATATATTCTATTTGATATACTTTTACATTATAATTATAATATATCCATTATTATTATTATTATTATTATTATTATTATTATTATTATTATATTTTCCATAATAATGAAGTGATCCAACTTAATGTTTGCTGTTGAAATGGTTATTTCATACATAAGGTGCATCCCTATAGCCTGTAACTGTTTCGTAAGAAACTTTGTATGACAGTTTTCATAACATTTTTAATTCAAAGTTGGAAAGATTTTTGGAACAAAACAATGGTACTTTGTCCAAAGACTATATGTGTCATTACATCCCATACAGAATGTCACATGAACACCCATGGAGAAATCTGGTAATTTGTAGTAAACATTCTGTCATTATAGTGAGTAACAGCTTCTGAGCACACAGTGAAGGTTCACTGTTAAGCAGTGCTCTACTTTCTACAAACACAAACACAATTATTTATTTTTTATTTTTGGTGGAATGAGACACACTCCCCTGCAAGCATAGACACTCACACAGGTTAATGTTTATAAAGGATACTACAATATCAAGAGTTATGAGGCTGAATACATTTATGTGGTCTGTGGTATGATTTGGGTCTGACTCACTTGAGTTGGCTTTAGGTCTTTGACAGAAATTGTCATCAATCCTGCCTTCATGAAATTCATTATTTTTTTATCTTGTCTTTTCCCAGTGAGCTTTTCATAATCTGTTATTTAGATATGCTGTTAAACTGTTTTCTAATTCAGCTGCTTAGAGTGACCTCTGGCAGTGTAGTCTGAGTATATTTCCATTTGAAAGCATAGTCTGAGTATATTTTCATTTGAACTTGCTCTGTCTCTAAAATTGTTACCTTTTGGCTAACATTTTTCAACCTTTTTGGCTAACCTTTTTTTGGCTAACCACCTGCCTTCATTTTGGCATGTAACTTTTGGTGAGTCAAGTGGGAATACAGAGTACTGGATTTATGAAAACATGACTAGTCCCGTAATAGTACACCTTTTTTCAGCATCACTTTCACAAACACTTCTTTGACATAGCTTAAACTGTAGTGCCGTCATGCAAATCAGCAGTTTTGCAAAATAACATCAGCTTTCAAGTCTCTTTTTAAAAGGTGGAACTTAAATGCTGAACTGTAATTTCAGCGCACCAGACATAATATTGTATACCAGAAATGTTGGTAATAATTCATAAATAAATGTAACAACATATGGTTGTTAATGTGTAAAATCCTGCTAAGCCAAGAAACTTGTTTTTTTTTCTGTCAGTTTTTTTTCTCTCTCTCTGCTTTTATTTATTTTAATTTTAATTTTATTTTTTACTTACCCCCTCATTTAATTAAAAATATGGTTGACCTTGTGTTGTTCATGAACCTCTTTTTCCAATCTGCTTTCCACATATCATCTGTGCTGTCATAATAACCTTCCCATTAACTCACAAACTCTCCTTCAAAGCCACACGCTTACAGTTTTCTATCCTCTGTGTAAAGCATAATCTCCTGTACATGTGACTTGTGTATATTTGTATACTTACTTTTCGTGCAGACTTTTGTGTGCTTGCACATACTGTATGTGATTTCAAACCAGCAAATAACAGCAAAACTCCAATACAAGTCAAAGTGTATAAAGTATACTTTAATCTAAAAATATATTTACATTGGCGATATATAATATACAAATGCGTACCATCTGGTATGCAGGGTATCTTTTCTACACAAGATCCCTGAGTTCACTATACACTTTCAGTATATGGTCAGTATAATAAATGATAAATATGCCCACATATGCCCATGCACTGTTTTTCCTGTTTTATGCACAGTTTTAGGAGATTCTGTGGAATATTATTAGCCAAAACTGAGTAATGACACTATTATTTGTTAGCAGAGAGCATTAGCAACCAAAACACTTAATAAACAACCACACACACACATGTGTTGTTAACGACAGATTCTGTGAAGTTTTCCAAGGAATTCTGCGGGCTCAGATTCCATACAAGTCTTCTGATAAACAGTATACTTTGTTCTTTAAACATTTAACAAAAGATCTAATCAAAGATGTCGTAGTGGAATGTTTCTGGTTAATGCATTAATCTTACGGCCAAAGTATACTTTGATTTTTATGTGCGCTAGAGTACACAGTGCGTGTGGCGTAAATTGCCTCTGCACCATAGTACATGCATACTGTATGCGAGCAGCCAGATTTTTCTAACCACATATACTCTGGATGCTCAGCTCACACATGCACCTTCATTTTTTTACACAGTTGGCAACACAGACCCGGCCTTTTGTTCTACAGTTGAAAAATAGTGGATACGGCAGCAACAATCATAATAGATGCCTATATTGATGAGCATTGTTGAGATGGGTTAAAAGATACTTGCAACTCTAGTTTAAATGAGTGGAAATAGTGCAAACACTGAACAACAAATTAAACTTTCTAGTAGGGCTGCCCCCTAATAGTCGACTAATCGTTAGTCGACCAGAAGAAGCTTGGTCGACCAAAATTTTATTAGTCGCAGAAAGAAAAAAAATCCACATTGGCGAAGTCACGCAGATCGTTAACTGCTGGTCTATGGTAATACAGTACATGCGGCAGGACATCCAAATGCTCACCTATCATTCATCCACCACAAATATGGCTTATCATCTGAAATATGTAAGTAGCAGCAACGTTACATGGCTGCTCAATCTAATGTTAAAGTGCCCCTATTATGCCATTTATACGGTTCCTAATATTGTTTTGGGAGTCTCCTACAATAGGATTACATGCATGCAAGGTCAAAAAACGCTTTCATTTTCTCAAAATATGCATTTAATATCACCTCATTTTCCAGCAATTCTCAAACAATGCGTTCGAAGCAGTTCAAAGATTCAGTCTCTCTAAACCCCTCCTTTCCGTGAGCCTGCTTTGCTCTGATTGGTCAGATGGCCCGGTCTATTGTGATTGGTCTATGGCGTACAGCGTGTATCGGAAATTATACGTAGAACGGCCAACGTAGAACATAGTTCTGTTCTTTATTTTGGGAGACAATAACTTTATTTATCATGCACTTTCAGCTTTACAACTTTGCAGATAATTTACATTCACATACAGCTACATTACACACTGCATGAAAGGCAATATTGGAAATGGCATAATAGGGGCACTTTAACCTAGAGAAATGTGCGCTGTTTAAGTGTGTGCGCGGAGTATGGAAGCTGAACAGTAGCGCTCGCTGCAGGACAGATGGAGGCGCCGGTGCACTCACTTGATAAATTGAAGCCTCTGTAGTCATACAGATAAAAGTAATACATCTTTCAAATCTGTAAAGACTCTACGTTTATTTGTGTACACTCAGAATAACAATGAAACGTGCTTTTGTAAAATAATGAAAGCAAACAGTGACGTGAAAGTGACGTGACATGTGGCCAAGTATGGTTACCCATACTAGGAATTAGTGCTCTGCATTTAACCCATCCTAAGTGCACACACACAGCAGTGAACACACACACACCGTGAACACACACCCGGAGCAGTGGGCAGCCCTTTATGCTGCGGCGCCCGGGGAGCAGTTGGGGGTTCGTGCCTTGCTCAAGGGCACCTCAGTCGTGGTATTGAAGGTGGAAGACAGCGCTGTACATTCACTCCCCCCACCTACAATTCCTGCCAGACCGGAGACTCGAACTCGCAACCTTTGGGTTACGAGTCCGACTCTCTAACCATTAGGCCCCAGGATGCGCTTTCTGCCGTCTCGGTCTGTAAACTTGAGCGCAGAACTCCGAGTATATCTTTGCCTTACAGACATTAAAAATACATCTATACATAGTGAAATGTCTACTTTAAAATTAACCAATTCAAATATAAAACAAATATTCTCAGATTATGTAATAATCCGTGTGAAACATGCATATAGGCGCATCCACTACTGTGGAGATGACGAGAAAGCACTTGTTTATCCTACTTATTAGGCTTTGTAGGAAATTAAAGGATTATTATAATGATTTAAATGGTTTATTAATAAACGTGAGATTAGTCGACTAATGCTTAAGATGAACGACTACTAGTCGACCAGAAAAATCCTTAGTCGAGGGCAGCCCTACTTTCTAGTGAGTGCCTGTGTTGATGTATGTTAACAAAAAACAAAGTACTCTTTGAAAAGCTGTGTTCAACTGTATACGCATATGCTACACAAAACTGAATTATACTTCAGACTTAATGAACTTTGTACATGACTGTTATTGTCAAAGTTACTTAAACTCTTTCATTTTTAAAACAATGTCCTGGAATATAGTTGGCAGTCCTCATTGCTGAAGATATTGCTGTGTCATATGGTGAACGTACTCGTGTCTTCATTGTCCGATGAAGAGTGAGTTTGAGTTTGTTTGCCCGACTTAAGGGAGATCTCGACGGTGGGCTGTTCATTGCCATGGCGGTACCCTCTTCCTGTCTGCCCGCAACGCTTGGCGAGCTTCAGAACGTGCATTTTGAAAGACGAGCCACTAAAGACATAGAGCACAGGATTCAGGCAGCAGTGCGTGAGGGCCAGACTTTCAGTGATTTGATTGGCCCGGTCCAGATTTTTGCTCACCTCACATTCCGTCACTAAAATGTAAATCACATCCAGGGCTCTGACTAATTTTACCACATTATAGGGGAGCTGGGTCAACAGAAACACACCTACTACTGCTATCAAAACCCGAAACGCCCGCCATCTCCTTCCACCACGTACGCCCGCTGTTGCGGCTTGACTTAACACAATTCCAACCCTGCAATAGCAGAACATCATCACCAGGAAAGGCAGAAGAAAGCTCAGAGACACGTCCAGAATTTCCAGAGTCGCCTTAGCTGCCCGCGCCATGCTGTGCGGGTAAACTGCCCGGCAGGAGTTACGGCCACTCGAGTGCTGCATCTTCACCGTGTAGAACACCATATCTGGCAACCCGAGGACAATGGCAAGTCCCCAAACCAGGAGGCACATGATTATCCTCTGCCTGCGGGCGTTGGTCCTGGCTGGGGCATTGGCGGTGGTGGAGCCTCTGTCTAGCGCACGATAGCGGTCTATGCTAATGCAGGCCAGCAGCAGCATGCTACAGCTGAAGTTAGTGGTGTAGAGAGCTGAAGTGATCTTGCAGGCGGCTGTGCCAATCTCCCAGCCATTCACTGCATCCGCAGCCCAGAAGGGCAGTTAAGATGAACGACTACTAGTCGACCAGAAAAATCCTTAGTCGAGGGCAGCCCTACTTTCTAGTGAGTGCCTGTGTTGATGTATGTTAACAAAAAACAAAGTACTCTTTGAAAAGCTGTGTTCAACTGTATACGCATATGCTACACAAAACTGAATTATACTTCAGACTTAATGAACTTTGTACATGACTGTTATTGTCAAAGTTACTTAAACACTTTCATTTTTAAAACAATGTCCTGGAATATAGTTGGCAGTCCTCATTGCTGAAGATATTGCTGTGTCATATGGTGAACGTACTCGTGTCTTCATTGTCCGATGAAGAGTGAGTTTGAGTTTGTTTGCCCGACTTAAGGGAGATCTCGACGGTGGGCTGTTCATTGCCATGGCGGTACCCTCTTCCTGTCTGCCCGCAACGCTTGGCGAGCTTCAGAACGTGCATTTTGAAAGACGAGCCACTAAAGACATAGAGCACAGGATTCAGGCAGCAGTGCGTGAGGGCCAGACTTTCAGTGATTTGATTGGCCCGGTCCAGATTTTTGCTCACCTCACATTCCGTCACTAAAATGTAAATCACATCCAGGGCTCTGACTAATTTTACCACATTATAGGGGAGCTGGGTCAACAGAAACACACCTACTACCGCTATCAACACCCGAAATGCCCGCCATCTTCTTCCACCACGTACGCCCGCTGTTGCGGCTTGACTTAACACAATTCCAACCCTGCAATAGCAGAACATCATCACCAGGAAAGGCAGAAGAAAGCTCAGAGACACGTCCAGAATTTCCAGAGTCGCCTTAGCTGCCCGCGCCATGCTGTGCGGGTAAACTGCCCGGCAGGAGTTACGGCCACTCGAGTGCTGCATCTTCACCGTGTAGAACACCATATCTGGCAACCCGAGGACAATGGCAAGTCCCCAAACCAGGAGGCACATGATTATCCTCTGCCTGCGGGCGTTGGTCCTGGCTGGGGCATTGGCGGTGGTGGAGCCTCTGTCTAGCGCACGATAGCGGTCTATGCTAATGCAGGCCAGCAGCAGCATGCTACAGCTGAAGTTGGTGGTGTAGAGAGCTGAAGTGATCTTGCAGGCAGCTGTGCCGATCTCCCAGCCATTCACTGCATCCGCAGCCCAGAAGGGCAGCGTGAGGAGCAGGAGGAGGTCTGCGAAGGCCAGGTTGAGGATGAAGACGTCCGTCAGCGTTCGTAAGCTTTTGTGGGAAAGGTAAACTAAGACGACCAGTGAGTTTCCGGCCAGGCCCAGGATCAATGCTAGGGTGTAGATGACTGGCAAAAAGACCCCAGCGAAGGACCGGACCTCTTGTTTGTCGCAGACTGTGTGGAAGTCTGCAAAATCCTTGTCGTCGTAGTCACTGTGGTTGGAACTATTGTCATGGTCATGATAATGATAGTCACGGTCGTAATCCAAAAGGACATTCATATTGATCTAAAGAGAAACAGAGAAAGAAACGTAACATTGATGATGCTAGATTTCATTCCGTTTTTTTATATGTTTGGAAAAAAATTGTACACTGAAAAAATTGATGTAGGATTTACTTAGAATTTTTTTTACTTAGATATTGCTAGTATTATTTTACAAATAATAAAAAAAAAAATCTAGTAACATATTGAATTAAACATGACATTTTGAAGTAAAAAGACTGAAATAGTATATTCTTGTAAAATGCAAAAACCTCAAAAAAATTTTACAAAAATGTTACACATTTTTTACACATTTTTACAGTGTACCTTTACAATACAATATGATACGATAAGTCAGAGTCTGAAATTGTTCTTGCATCACAGCAGCTTCACTTCCAACATTAAAAAGATACAAAAACACACTAAAAACACTACATTTTCAAAACCATACTCGGGTCTGACATATGTTCTATCTGTGAGTAAACTCCATATTTAGCTTTAAGGCTGACTGATGTACAAATGAGTGATTCAGTTTAACCTTTAAATTGTGGAATTCTTTATCTTCAGTTTGATGGTACAAATGTATGTTCATTATTCAGGTCATGATTCGGATCAGCCACTATATTGCTGGTCGTTCTAATTCTATTTCTATTTAGTGGTAAAACCGCTTGAGCATTTTATTACTCTAAGGTATGAATATGAATCTTTAGATGAGGTAAAGTTGTCCCT